TTGAATCTGTAAACTGCACTCCTTGCTTTTCCCTACCGTAGTAAACTAAAAACGGAAGAGCCAAGATGTTGCCTGTGAAGTTGCATCTCAGTCCCCTCATCTTGACCCCTTTTACCTTGTATTTTTCATGAAAATACAAGGGAAAAGGGTACCAAGAAGATCGACGCCTGTGAACAACGTGAAGATGGATTTCTTGTAGCATTAACTTGATACTCCGATTGAGACATTCCTCGCGATGAGATTGCAGGGACATCCGTTTGAGTGCGGCCACTTGTGCGTCGTCACTTTCGACGGCCGCGCCCAAGCTCGCCGTGACGAGGCTGCTGGCGCACGCGGCAGAGAGAAACCCTTCCGCAACGTACTCCGGAGTCAAAATCAAGTTCAGCATCAAACGAGCAATCGCATCGATCTCGGCAGCATAGACATACTCCACATCCACATTTCCGAAGACCTGCTGCAGCTGCTGCCTTAGGCCAATATAGTTCACAATCACGCGGCGCATGGTGTCACCTTCAGAAAGACGGTGAAGTGGGCCATCAGATGGAGAGTGGCCACCAGATGGAGAGTGGAGAGGCCGAGTCCTCAGAAAGTCGTAATTGATCATGGAGCGCAAATCGTCAGATATATCCCTGCGGCACTGCTCCCTGATCTCCTTATCATGTTTTGGGAGTTTTTCAAGGAGATAATCTTTTAAGGCTTGGACCCTTTCCCTATTTGCTCCTTCATCCACAGTGGGTGACAGAGACCGAGACCAAGCAAACAGCCGCAGCAGGGTCTGCATCACTTCGTTGTCCTCGCCCGAATGTGTGCTTTGACCTTCGGGGTTGGAACCAATTATACTGCGCACAAACTGCGAAGTGGTCTCGGCAGCGACGCGGTGAACTTGTCCTTCGGCATCATGTATAACCTTGAATCGCGGCATATTGTGCAGAAAGGCTGAGTCAAGCTGAATTGCGTACTCCCTCTCTGGTAAGTTGAAAATATCTTCTTCAGCAGCTGACGCTATACCATTCAACACGCGGAAGCTGCTAAATTGACTGTCAAAGCCTTCACCCAAATATTTCGGATAGTAAATCGCTGCGCGTCGAGTTCGAATCGCTTCTGAGACGAGCCGAGGCAGGGGCTGGTCTGCGTTGTCGACATAAGGCTCTCCCAAACTCACTTCCACTTCCCCCAAACTCAGTTCCCCCGAGCTTGACAGCTTATGCTTAAAGCAGCGTGCCGAGTTCATGATGAGCACAAACGCACTCGAATTTCTCCTTTTTGTAGACTCAAAATCTTCCGTTAGACTCTCCGCGTCCAACAGCTTGCTACGAAACTCTGAAGTCACATCCTCGAGAGCCGGGCGGTAAGTCCACTTGGCTGACCTTATTTCACTAGTTGTAGTTACCTCGTTTGCATCCACGTCAAGCTTCCATAAAACCGGGGCACCAGAGGTGCCGTTTCCATCAGCACTCGTGCCTGAGGACGTGGTGGAAGGTCTTTCCCATCTTGTTTTTTCAGCACTCTGGTCCAGTATAATATGTGTGGGCTGGTAGCGGAAATCCTTCTTCATCTCCCCCTGCGCCCCTACTCCCTGCTGTGCCCCATGATCTTGCGCCATCATATAGCCTTTCGCAGCGCGGTTTATGGCACGCCTAATGTTATCCGCGCGCTCTGGCTCTTCGGTCAGCGCCGAGTCATAGTGGATGATTTTCACGCGTTTCACCTCCGGATAGGGCAAACGCGCAAACAGATGGTAGAAATAGTTGCTCATGATAATGCCCCAATCCATTTTGCGGTCACCAAAACCAGTCGTAATGATGAGAAAGTCTTCAACAGGTTCTAATTGTGGCACAGCGTTGGCAGCAGGCAAGAATGCTCCGTCACTTCTTGGAGCAGGTGGTGTAGTTCGCGCAGCCTGTCTTCCAGCACCTCCAACAGATTGTTGTTGTGGCACAGCGTTGGCACCAAGCAAGGATGCTCCGCCATTTCTTGAAGCAGATGTTCGCTCAGCATGTCTTCCACCTCCAACAGATTGTTGTTGTGGCACAGCGTTGGCAGCAGGCAAGAATGCTCCGCCATTTCTTGAAGCAGGTGTTCGCTCAGCCTGTCTTCCACCACCTCCAACAGATTGTTGTTGTGGCACAGCGTTGGCAGCAGGCAAGAATGCTCCGCCATTTCTTGAAGCAGGTGTTCGCTCAGCCTGTCTTCCACCACCTCCAACAGATTGTTGTTGTGGCACAGCGTTGGCAGCAGGCAAGAATGCTCCGCCATTTCTTGAAGCAGGTGTTCGCTCAGCCTGTCTTCCACCACCTCCAACAGATTGTTGTTGTGGCACAGCGTTGGCAGCAGGCAAGAATGCTCCGCCATTTCTTGAAGCAGGTGTTCGCTCAGCCTGTCTTCCACCACCTCCAACAGATTGTTGTTGTGGCACAGCGTTGGCAGCAGGCAAGAATGCTCCGCCATTTCTTGAAGCAGGTGTTCGCTCAGCCTGTCTTCCACCACCTCCAACAGATTGTTGTTGTGGCACAGCGTTGGCAGCAGGCAAGAATGCTCCGCCATTTCTTGAAGCAGGTGTTCGCTCAGCCTGTCTTCCACCACCTCCAACAGATTGTTGTTGTGGCACAGCGTTGGCAGCAGGCAAGAATGCTCCGCCATTTCTTGAAGCAGGTGTTCGCTCAGCCTGTCTTCCACCACCTCCAACAGATTGTTGTTGTGGCACAGCGTTGGCAGCAGGCAAGAATGCTCCGCCATTTCTTGAAGCAGGTGTTCGCTCAGCCTGTCTTCCACCACCTCCAACAGATTGTTGTTGTGGCACAGCGTTGGCAGCAGGCAAGAATGCTCCGCCATTTCTTGAAGCAGGTGTTCGCTCAGCCTGTCTTCCACCACCTCCAACAGATTGTTGTTGTGGCACAGCGTTGGCAGCAGGCAAGAATGCTCCGCCATTTCTTGAAGCAGGTGTTCGCTCAGCCTGTCTTCCACCACCTCCAACAGATTGTTGTTGTGGCACAGCGTTGGCAGCAGGCAAGAATGCTCCGCCATTTCTTGAAGCAGGTGTTCGCTCAGCCTGTCTTCCACCACCTCCAACAGATTGTTGTTGTGGCACAGCGTTGGCAGCAGGCAAGAATGCTCCGCCATTTCTTGAAGCAGGTGTTCGCTCAGCCTGTCTTCCACCACCTCCAACAGATTGTTGTTGTGGCACAGCGTTGGCAGCAGGCAAGAATGCTCCGCCATTTCTTGAAGCAGGTGTTCGCTCAGCCTGTCTTCCACCACCTCCAACAGATTGTTGTTGTGGCACAGCGTTGGCAGCAGGCAAGAATGCTCCGCCATTTCTTGAAGCAGGTGTTCGCTCAGCCTGTCTTCCACCACCTCCAACAGATTGTTGTTGTGGCACAGCGTTGGCAGCAGGCAAGAATGCTCCGCCATTTCTTGAAGCAGGTGTTCGCTCAGCCTGTCTTCCACCACCTCCAACAGATTGTTGTTGTGGCACAGCGTTGGCAGCAGGCAAGAATGCTCCGCCATTTCTTGAAGCAGGTGTTCGCTCAGCCTGTCTTCCACCACCTCCAACAGATTGTTGTTGTGGCACAGCGTTGGCAGCAGGCAAGAATGCTCCGCCATTTCTTGAAGCAGGTGTTCGCTCAGCCTGTCTTCCACCACCTCCAACAGATTGTTGTTGTGGCACAGCGTTGGCAGCAGGCAAGAATGCTCCGCCATTTCTTGAAGCAGGTGTTCGCTCAGCCTGTCTTCCACCACCTCCAACAGATTGTTGTTGTGGCACAGCGTTGGCAGCAGGCAAGAATGCTCCGCCATTTCTTGAAGCAGGTGTTCGCTCAGCCTGTCTTCCACCACCTCCAACAGATTGTTGTTGTGGCACAGCGTTGGCAGCAGGCAAGAATGCTCCGCCATTTCTTGAAGCAGGTGTTCGCTCAGCCTGTCTTCCACCACCTCCAACAGATTGTTGTTGTGGCACAGCGTTGGCAGCAGGCAAGAATGCTCCGCCATTTCTTGAAGCAGGTGTTCGCTCAGCCTGTCTTCCACCACCTCCAACAGATTGTTGTTGTGGCACAGCGTTGGCAGCAGGCAAGAATGCTCCGCCATTTCTTGAAGCAGGTGTTCGCTCAGCCTGTCTTCCACCACCTCCAACAGATTGTTGTTGTGGCACAGCGTTGGCAGCAGGCAAGAATGCTCCGCCATTTCTTGAAGCAGGTGTTCGCTCAGCCTGTCTTCCACCACCTCCAACAGATTGTTGTTGTGGCACAGCGTTGGCAGCAGGCAAGAATGCTCCGCCATTTCTTGAAGCAGGTGTTCGCTCAGCCTGTCTTCCACCACCTCCAACAGATTGTTGTTGTGGCACAGCGTTGGCAGCAGGCAAGAATGCTCCGCCATTTCTTGAAGCAGGTGTTCGCTCAGCCTGTCTTCCACCACCTCCAACAGATTGTTGTTGTGGCACAGCGTTGGCAGCAGGCAAGAATGCTCCGCCATTTCTTGAAGCAGGTGTTCGCTCAGCCTGTCTTCCACCACCTCCAACAGATTGTTGTTGTGGCACAGCGTTGGCAGCAGGCAAGAATGCTCCGCCATTTCTTGAAGCAGGTGTTCGCTCAGCCTGTCTTCCACCACCTCCAACAGATTGTTGTTGTGGCACAGCGTTGGCAGCAGGCAAGAATGCTCCGCCATTTCTTGAAGCAGGTGTTCGCTCAGCCTGTCTTCCACCACCTCCAACAGATTGTTGTTGTGGCACAGCGTTGGCAGCAGGCAAGAATGCTCCGCCATTTCTTGAAGCAGGTGTTCGCTCAGCCTGTCTTCCACCACCTCCAACAGATTGTTGTTGTGGCACAGCGTTGGCAGCAGGCAAGAATGCTCCGCCATTTCTTGAAGCAGGTGTTCGCTCAGCCTGTCTTCCACCACCTCCAACAGATTGTTGTTGTGGCACAGCGTTGGCAGCAGGCAAGAATGCTCCGCCATTTCTTGAAGCAGGTGTTCGCTCAGCCTGTCTTCCACCACCTCCAACAGATTGTTGTTGTGGCACAGCGTTGGCAGCAGGCAAGAATGCTCCGCCATTTCTTGAAGCAGGTGTTCGCTCAGCCTGTCTTCCACCACCTCCAACAGATTGTTGTTGTGGCACAGCGTTGGCAGCAGGCAAGAATGCTCCGCCATTTCTTGAAGCAGGTGTTCGCTCAGCCTGTCTTCCACCACCTCCAACAGATTGTTGTTGTGGCACAGCGTTGGCAGCAGGCAAGAATGCTCCGCCATTTCTTGAAGCAGGTGTTCGCTCAGCCTGTCTTCCACCACCTCCAACAGATTGTTGTTGTGGCACAGCGTTGGCAGCAGGCAAGAATGCTCCGCCATTTCTTGAAGCAGGTGTTCGCTCAGCCTGTCTTCCACCACCTCCAACAGGTTGTAGCTGTGGTAAAGCGTTGGCAGCTTCATCTACAGCGTCGGGCGAGGCGGTGAACGTCGGTGTTCGGCGGCTTTTGCGAAGGCCAAATCCACACCCAAATCCG